TGACCAAAAACCAGAAGAACTGTGGGATGGCATCAAGAACATCATCCATGAAGAAAGCAAAAAGTCATTAAAGAGACAAGAAAGGAAGAAAAGACCAAAATGGATGTCAGAAGAGACTCTGAAACTTGCCCTTGATCAGAGAATAGCTAAAGCAAATGGAAGAATTGACAGGACAAAAGAGCTGAACAGATGATTTTAAAAAGCAGCTCGAGAAGACAAAGTCAATTATTATATGAAATGTGCAAAGACCTGGAGTTAGAAAACCAAAAGGAAGAATATGCTCAGCATATCTCAAGCTGAAAGAACTGAGGAAAAAATTTTAGCCTCAAACTGCAATATTGAAAGACTCCGTGGGCAATATGTTGAATGATACAGGAAACTTCAAAAGAAGATGGAAGGAATACGCAGAGTCACTGTACCAAAAGAAAATGGTAGATGATCATCTATTTCAGGAGGTGTCATATGATCAAGAACCAATGGTACTGAAGGAGGAAGTCGAAGCTGCACTGAAAGAATTGGCAAAGAACAAGGCTCCAGGGATTGATGGAATACCCAATGAGATGTTTCAACAAACGATACTGAGCTGAAGGCACTCACTTGGCTATGCCAAGAGATTTGGAAGACAGCTACCCGGCCAACTGACTGGAAGAAATCTATATTTGTACCCATTTCAAAGAAAGGTGATCCCATAGAATGTGGAAATTATTGAACAATCTCATTGATATCAGACACAAGTAAAATCTTGCTGAAGATAATTCAAAAACGGTTGCAGCAGTACACTGCCAGAGAACTTCCAGAAATGCAAGCTGGATTCAGAAGGGGACATGGAGCTAGGGATATCATAGCTGATGTTAGATGGATCTTGGCTCAAAGCAAAGGATATGAGAAAGATGTCTGTGTTTTGTTGACTATGCAAAGGCATTCAATAGTGTGGATCATAACAAATCATGGGTAACATTGAGAAGAATGGGAATTCCAGAACCCTTAATTGTGTTCACAAGGAAACTATACATAGACCAAGAGGCTGTCATTCAAACAGAACAAGGGGATACTTCATGGCTTAAAATCAGGAAGGGAGTGCATCGGGGTTGTATCCTTTCACCATGCTTGTTCAATCTGTATGCTGGGCAGATAATCCAAGAAGCTGGACTGTATGAAGAACAACATGGCATCAGGACTGGAGAAGCTTCATTAACAACCTGAGATATGCAGATGACACAACTTTGCTTGCTGAAAGTGAGGATGACTTGAAGCACTTACCAATGAAGACTAAAGACTACAGTTTGCACAATGGATTATACCTCAATATAAAGAAAACAAAAATCCTCACAACTGGACCAATAAGCAACATCATGATAGATGGAGAAAAGACTGAAGTCGCCAAAGACTTCATACTACTTGGTTCTACAATCAATGCCAATAGAAGCAGCAGTCAAGACATCAAAAGACATATTGCATTGGGCAAATCTGCTGCAAAAAACCTCTTTCAAGTGCTGAGGAGCAAAGATATCTCCTTGAAGACTAAGATGCGCCTAACTCATGGTATTTTCAATTGCCTTATATGCGAGAGCTGGACAATGAGTAAGGAAGACCAAAGAAGAGTTGATGCTTTTGAGTTGTGGTGTTGGAGAAGAATGTTGAAAGTACTGTGGACTACTAAAAGAACTAACAAATCTGTCCTGGAAGAAATGCAGTTGGAATGCTCCTTGGAAGTGAGAATGATCAGACTTCATGTCACCTACTTTGGTTATGTTGTCAGAAGGGACTTTCTCTGGAGAAGGATATCATGCTTGGTAAAGTGAAGGGTCAGTGAAGGAGGGAAGGCCATCAACAACAAGGACTGACACAGTGGCTGAAGTGATGGTCTCAGGTATAGTAGGGATCGTGAGGCTGGCACAGGGCCGGGCAGTGTTTCGTTCTGTTGTACATAAGGTCACTATGAGTTGGAAACGACTCCATGGTGCCTAACAACAACAACTGATCAAAATGACCAAGGAAGCCAAATCACTTATTTTAGACACTACAGACCTAGTATTTAGCAGTTTTAATACCCAGAATGTGATGATGAATTGAAAGCATTTTGAAATGTGTGTTATTTTGATCATGTTATTAAATCTCTATCTGGACATATATGATGTTGGTGTTAGTTGCCAGTCAGCCCCTGCCTCATGGCAAGTCCACCAACAGAATGCAACACTGCCATGACCAGTTGTGGATCGGACGGTGGTGGTCCATAGGGTTTCATCAGCTCATTTTCAGAAACAGATCACCAGGCCTCTCTTCCTTGTTGTCTTAGGCTGGAAGCTCTGCTGATACCTGTTGAGTATCCTAGTAATGTGCAGGAGGATAGTGCAGGACCAGGCAGGATTTTGCTCTGTCGTGCATGGGACTATTGTGAGTCTGAGCCAAGTGTGGACGGTGGCTAACAACCACAACGGTCACATTTTTAGTAGGGAAGCAATAGAAAGCAAAGTTCTGGCAGCAGATGTCCAGGAAGCAAGACACAAGCAGTCAAGATGCCAGAAACCAACTGTGACCCCTTATCTTATCTGAAGCCTACACAATGCTACATTTTACTCAGCCATTTAAAATGAAACTATCCAAATACTCCAACCTCTGGAATACTGTAGATGCTTGAAAAAAACCTCTTCAGCTTGTTCTTGTCAGACTGTACATGAGGACACATCCTCACTGGTATGATCCAAGTGTTTCAACAAGAGGCTTTGCAACACTCTTGAAAATATTCAGGAAAAATGACATTTGAAGTGATAATTACAAGTTTTAAAACACAAGTTTGCCTCTCTTGTTATGGTACAGTGTTTAACATGTAGAACGATTTTCATTTAGCTTTCGTTTTGGACAGTAAGGGATTTGTCATGGAAGGGTGGTTATTGGCTTGCTCATTAATCAGACTGCTTGGGTTGTTCCAGAGTGGGGATAACAGGAGACAGCCCACTGAAGTTTGACTTTGAGCCAGTCCTAGTCCAATCACTTTTGTGAGCAGTAACCTCGTCAGCCCACACAGCCACCCTGGCAAACAGGCTCCACTAACCACCTGGTTCACAGAGAGATGCAGAACCCTCTGGAGGTCACGTGGCCAGGAAATGGCGTTACCATACCCAACAGCCTCCAGACGTGGGCTCCACACCACGTTTGTGCCTCCCTGAGCACAACAGTGTTTTTGTTAGTCATCCAGTCAGCTCCAAAGACCTATGTACCACAAAACCAAATGCAGCTGGTCACTTGGTGATGGTCAGGGGATGGCGTGTCCTTGCTGAGGGGTGGGGTCACACATTGACCTAAGAGAGGCTGGCCATGGCTTGTGTTGTGGGAAGACGGTCTTCCAAGGGTACCAAGGGTTTAACACTGTGCAGGCCCAAGACCTTTCCCCAGCTATTGCCAACGACACTCGGGTGTGCAGACGAGAGAGGCACCCTTCTTTTTTATTTTTAATTGTGATTTGGGTTAAAGTTTACAGAGCAAATTCACTTTCCATATAGCAGTTCACATACACTGTCTCATGACACTGACAACAAGTTCCCACAATGCAACAGCTCCCCTCCCACTTCTTCTCCATAGTTACCTCTTCCCTGTGTCCTTCCCTCCGTGCACTCCTGTCCCCTGAGATGTCCCTGGCCATACACAGCCCTTCTACTCTCCCATGACTGATCTCTCCAGGGAGTGTACCTATGTAATGTAAACGTTCAGCTCATATGCCTGTCTTTTGTTTGGCTGGAGGACACAGGAGTAGGTTCAATTCCAGACCTGAAGGGCAGCTAGGGGCCATAGTCTCAGTGGTTCCACCAGGCTCTATCGGACCAGCAAACCTGGTCCCC